GCCCAACAAATGAGCACAGAAATGCTACGCTGCCTTCAGACTTCCCCTCGCTTTATCACAGCTCAAGGCATGTCTCAGATCACCGTGTTATAGCATCACTGACATGCCTCTCGTCAAGGTTAGTCATTTATTTAAGATGTTCTCCTTTGTGGAAGGCTTCCCATTCTCATGAGGGAAAGAAGAAGCAGTGCGTGAATTTTCACCTACAAAGCGAGGAGGAAGCTGAACTCTATAATGATGGTAGGCATTTTCCCACCTAACGAGCTAACTTCTTTCACAATGTAATCGCACAGCAAAAGGTGAACTAATTAATTGTTCTTTCCTCCACATTGGCAATATCAGCTGATGTTTGGTATTACTACTGCAATAGTCATGTGGACAGGATTCCAGAAAGACTAATAAAAATCTTTCAGTTTCCTTCTCAACTGACTCGAATAGAACTTGCCCATGACAAGGTCAACTGTGCTGCCTTGGCCAACAAAAAAACCAACTCACGTATGGCTAGCGAGGGTTAAGATGGTAGCTCTAGAGCTGGGCTGCCTGGGTTCATCAGCCTGTGCCATTATCCACAGCCGTGTGACCTGAGCAAGTTACCACTCTGTGCCTCAGTGTCTTCATCTATAAAATGGGCATAAAACGCTAGTTTTTACCTCTTAGCGTTGCTGTAAAGATTAAATGATGCATATAAAGAACCTAGACATATCCTAAGGTTTATTGAGTCCTTACTTTTATAACATTGACACGAATCAGTGGCTCCATGCATGGATTGAAAAACAATGCCTTAGGAGGGATGAGCTTTAGTGATCTATTGCACAAAATGGTCCCTATAATTAATAATAATGCATTGTATATTTCAAAATGGCTTAAAGATTGATTTTTTAATGAGATGATGAATAGGTTGATTAGCTTGATTTACTCATTCCACAATGTACACATATATCAAAACATCACTTTGTACCGAATACATTAATTATTTATTAATTAATGTATTCGGTACAATATAATTATTATGTGTCCAATAAAAATAAAACTTGTACCAAGAACAATGCCTGATGAAAGCCAAGCAAAGGAAATGTGAGAAATCAGGGGGAGGTAGGAAGAAATCCAATAAGAAATCAGATGATAAAAGGTAATGATGTAGAAGAGGAATTTTGACAGGGCAGAGAGAAAATTGAAACTAGAGTTGAGTATGGAGTGACGTGTAACTTTGCCAGCGCCCACTGGCAGAGTTGCACTGGGTTGTAAGTGGTACAGAGTTGGGGAAGAAATAGGGAGAAAGGACTCTTCCCTAGAAGCAGCAGGCAGATCACAGAGAGGTGCATTTCCCCACTCCCAGCTGAGACTTGCAGGCTGGGTATCCGACAGAGCAGTGGAGGTGTGACAGTGGCCATGAGAGAGAGCACTTGTGAGCTCCAAGACCAAGACCAACATGCCTGGTGCCCAAGGGACTTAGATACCTCTTTCTTGCATCTCCTCCCTCTCCCAGAATGTCCAATCAAAAGGAGAGAAAGACAAAATACGTTCTGAATGTGTGTGTGTGTGTGTGTGTGTGTGTGTGTGTGTAAATACCTTTCCCCCAAATTCCTTTTTTGGGACATTTTCTTATGATGACATGTCCCCCACTCCAGTAAGCATTTCAGTTTAAGGACACACAAGTCTCAGAGCAGGTTAGCTACAGATGGGGATTTTGCTACAGTCTTGGAATTGAGTGCAAATCTAAGGCCCAAGGCCCCCCCCCCCAGGCCAGGAGCCTGCGCCCATCCCCATTCTACCAGGGCACGTTTCCCTCCATTTCATTTCGGCCTCTGCACCCTTCCTCATCACACATATCCCACCTCTCAGCGCAGAGTGATCACGGCGTGTCCCTTGAGTATTCCCACAGGGAGCTCCGCATCCCTCTCCTCTAGGCATACGGTTCCCTGGGAAAAGGTTTGTTGGTGCAGGTGCACATGTCTTTCTGGAAGAGGTGGGGGCAGGACGCAGCCTCTCTCCTCAGTTCCTCCCCCTCACATTTCACTGAGAGCCTCAACCGGAGAACTCCCCGGGGACCAGACAGACTGTGTGAGCGTGGACAGCCACCGTGGGCCGTGCTTGTCTTTGCTGCTGAGCTCTGCCTGTTTAGCCACGAAGCCTGTCCAACTACCCGTGACAAACGCTGCGTCCAACAACCAGTAGCTATGAATCCCCCAAGGAAGAAATGTAATTAAATGTTTGTTATCAGCCCTCTTTACATCTTCTTCCTGGTCCTTTATCCCTAACCACAAAGACCATCAACTATAGAGACCGCAGTCTGATTCAGCCAATGACCTCCCACTTGCATTTCTACAGTAATGGAGCTCCCTTCTTCATTCTAGTGCTCTCCGCTGATTAGGCCCTTAGCAAGCAATGCCTTTGCCACGGCAGGGACAGCTTTCAGGATAAAGTCAGCGTCTCCAGTCCTCCATTAGGAGCTGCCATAATCTAATGTCGTGGTTCCCACATTTATTGTACCTTCCCCAGCACTCGTCTGCCCCTCAAGCTCCATCCTCACTCTCTCTCTCTCCTCTTGGCCTTCCTTTCCAGGAAAGAAGTCCCCTCCTCTGACCCTTTTTCCCCTAGTCCAAAATCAAGTCTCCTTTATAGCCTTATTCAAGGTTTGCTTTCTTCATGAAGCTTCCCCTCATTATTCTTACTCTACCAAAATCTTCAAAATATTTCATGTACCCTCCACAATTACATATACAAATATTTATTCTGCCATTTAAAAATATTTACTGGACACCTACTAGGTGCATGTTGGATTGTGTCAGACCCACCTCCACATCCCCGCAAGTGCCCAGCGTAATGGTCTCATTTAATCATAGGATTGATGCTTATTGAGTGAAAGCACAAATGTTGGACCCCTTGGGAAACGCAAAGATGGATTCTTCATCACCTGCCATCATCAAGAAATTTAGTGTGTGTTGAAAGAGACAAAGCACATGCATAGGCACTCATAGCACAATGTAGAAAGCAGTGAGCACCTCCCAGAAGCTACAAAGCACAGGAGATGAGGGGAGAGAGCATCTGCTGCTGGGAGAGGGAAAAGACTGCAGTGGAAGGGGTGGTGTTTACAGGGCCTTGAAGGATGGATGAGAATTGAGCAGGTGGTAATGAGGGAAGTGACATCCCATGGAGAAAGAAACAGTGCAGGAAAGCGATGACTGCATATAGAAGGACCTCGGTGGGAAGACCAGTAAGGGGTCGTGTGCTGGGACATTGGTTAGGAAAGCAGGTATAAGAGGGCAGAGGACCCCCAGCATGTGCACAAGTCTCCAGATGACCAGGATGCATGGCATGCAAGTAATGCTATGCATGGTGGTCCCCTGAAAAAGAGCACTCACTGCCCAACTCCTGGTTTTGTGTGTCTAACTGCCTTTCACTAGCAGGGCCAGGGGTTGTGCCAGGCAGTGTGCTCCAGTAGGAGGATGGCCTTTAGGTGAAGGAACAAAAGAGCTGCAATGAGAAGCTATAAGATTGCTATCAGAGGGGAAATGCAAGGACAAAGGATAGCTACATTGTTCTGAGCTGAGTCAGAAATAGACTTTACAGAGGTGTTTGGGGTGAGTGGAAGAGCAGGTCCTGAAGATTAGTAATGGTATGAGGTTTTCTCCAAGCCTCAGCCATTTATTACCATTTTGCAAATCTAGATCCCTCTGGAAACCCAATCCAGCTCAGCAGATGAGTCTGTATTTGCACGTTCTGGCAAAACATCATTATAGTGTAGCAGTCAAGAGTACCACGTTTGGAGTCTTGGCTGTGAATTTGAATCCAGGTTCAGCTATTTATTTTCTGTGTGACCTTTACGGGCAACTTGATGTCATCTATAAAATGTGAATGACCTCATAGGATTGTTGGAAGGTTCAGTGACATGATATTTACAAATTACTTCGCCCCAATGTCTGGCACAAGAAATGGTAGCTGATAGGGGAAACATGTGTACATGTGTGTATATACAGTCTTTGTCCAAACATGATAAAATTCCATTCTTACTGGGATAGCAATGTGTGTGGTTTCTTGAGCCAGGCACCAGACTTAGAACTTCTTCCGTAGGTGCTGTAATGTGAAGTACAAATGTGAAGGTTAAACACAGACCTAGATCACAAAAAAATTGTACTTCTTAAAGGAAAATATGATAGTATGTCAGCTACACTCATTGTATTACTGGGTAGACGCAGGTCATATGGTGATCTACTTTGTATTTGGGATATTTTGGGATTTCCCAAAAGGCTGCACGTCCTCAAAACATCAACCATCCTTTTGTTCCAGTTTTTTCAACTTGAGTCACATTTTGTGATTCTGAGCCACTCTGTGTCGCCCAGTCGATGTGTTGGGTGCCTAGATCAGAGTTTGGGAGCTTGTAGGGTGGGGTACCCATAGGTTGGGGTTTCTGAAATTTGCAAAAGAATCTCACAGCAATCCCACTTATGGCGGAATATCAGAGGCCTTAAACCTCCTCCTGGAGCCCACCTGAAGTGCCAGCCTGGCACAGCACCAGAGCCAAGCCCAGCCCACCTCCCTCAGGTCCACCTCATCACACATCTGGTGCTCACACCTGCTCCAACGCCCCGTCAGTCCAGGGCATCCCAAGGTTGCCTTTCTGTAGGTGTCAGTTAAACAGCCCTCAGGATTTGCTCAAGCTTTCCTGTTGCCAGCAGGCCGATTAGTTCCCTGGAGCCGAGTAGGGGATGGTAAATGCTCCTTTTGTAGTGATTACAGTAACTGCAAGCAGAACAAATGCAGCCCCGGCGTCTCCAATCTCAGATGAGCCAAAGCGGTCCTGAAGAAGCGGACCACAGCAGGTGGCAGGCAGCTCTCCCAAGGAGACCTAAAGTTTGTCTTTTTAAGTGAATCTGGCAGACGACACATTGTTTTCCTGCGTGGGCATGACAACCCATGCGATGCTATTTTTTTTTTTTTCAGGCAGAATTGAAAATGAAAATCCTTGCCAGAAGTGGGGAAGCATAGCAGACCCACTGGGGAGGAGCTCACACAAAGCTGGGCCCTCAAGGGGCGGGCAGACTCTCAAGACAAAGAACACTCACTGCCCAACTCCAAGGGGTCCCCCCAAGTCAGAGCTTCTGGGTAAAGGGACAAGATTGAGAAATAGGGAAGGAGAGAAAGTGGACAGGAGCACACGAATTGATGACCTCATAATGACAATGGCAACCAGCCCGTCATACTGGGAGGGGGTCACACTTCTGACACCAAGACTCACAGGCCTGCCTCTCTACGTGGAATTTTTTATGCCATCGAGATCCAAAGGGTTATGTTGGGATGAATTAGAATGGCAACTAATGTTCAAGAAGAAGTGCCAAGAGTGAGCTGGATTTGAGGTGGGTAAGGAGAGATGCCTTCCTCCCACACATGCACTCATACTCAGGTAGGTGCACAATATTACAACCCACAAGCCCAGCTACAGGCCCAGAAAATCCCACCTTGGCCCTTAGGAAGAACGTAGAGAACAAGAAAAGGGAAAGTAGGATAAGCAATTGAGTATTATCACCATGGCCTCTTGCTCATTTTGATTCATCTGTTCATTCATTCATCATTCAAAGAACCTGCACCTTCAAAGAGCCTAGGAAGACAAAAGCATTATAACTGATCTCAACCTCCAGAAATATTCAGTGTATGAATAGTTGGGGAGAGAGGAGCCTTACATGCAGAAGTATTTAATCACCTTTGAAAGAGTGAGCAAATGAGACAGAGAAGTAATAAAGCAAAACAATATATGATTAAGCACCCAAACCAAATGGCAGTGGTAATAAATTCTCCAATTATCAGAAGGGCCAGGAACATCATCGTGCATTGGCGGACCTGAACATGGCTTCATAGAGATGAAACAAACAGGAGTTTTATCTTCAAGGACTGGAAGGTTGGGTGAAGTGAGGAGAAGGAGAGAGACTGTCCAGGTGGAAGGTGCCCCAGAGGCAAGCACTGAGGTATGGCGAGGGTGCCGGGGAGAGTGGAAGGAAACCAGCCCATGTGAATCTCAGCTGTGTTGGGGGAGGTGAACCCAGCCTGAACCGTGGGCAGCTTTGAAAGTGCAGTTCCACCTGCAGCATTGCTCAAAGTGTGCGCCAGTTTCCAGCAGAACAATCTCCTGCAGTGCTTTTTTAAAATGCTGGTTCCTGGGGCCTGTCTCAGATCTCCCAAATCATAAATCATGGGGTGGGAGGAAGGCCCAGAATCTTTTTGCTGAGTTCCTCACCTAATTCTTAAGAACACTAGAGTTTAAAATTCTTTGGCTTTAGGCATCTAAATTTTAGCCTATTGGTAGTTCGTGACACCTGCTGGCTCAAGGCCAGGATGACAGCAGCATTTGAGAAGGACTAACCTAGCAAGGGTGTGCAGGATGGGCCCAAAGTAACAGAGACTGGAGACAAGGAGAAAATCCCAAGGTCGTCATGGCAATTCCAGAGTGTGGTGCTCGGGCGGGACTTGAGGGTGTATAATTGACGTGTATATATATTACACCCTTGTTTTGTCCTGGATCTAGTCACTGTTTATGCCTTTGGGCATTATGTGTATCCTCAACTTTCCTTGGATTCATTAAACAGAAATTGCTTTTGCTACACCTGTCACTGAATTACCATGAAGAATGCCAGGCACCAAATCACCCTTCTTCTCTTTCATCCCCTCCCCGCTCCAAACACACGCATAACCCAACACATGAACATGTAAATACACGCGCACACATATATGCACGTAGTTTATCTGTTCCACAGAGAAAACCGACCACTTACCTTAGCAGCTAAACCCGGTACCAACAGCAATGCAACTCACCGTCAGCTCCATCAGTTCAGCCGCAGAGGTGACAGGGGACGTTCCGGTTTTAAGAGACCTGCTCCCTGCTGCTGGTGGTACACATGCTCTCGGTGGGCAGAGGGACCCCACCTTGCTTCTCTGCCTCCTTCGAACAGCCTTGAAGCTCAAACGGAGATTGTTTTGTCACTTTGTGGTCTTGTCAGCATATCGATCAATGAGTCCTGAGCACTAATTAATTGTTGTGTCATCCAACTCGATCCATCAGGAAGGCTGATACCCCTGACTGGGCACCGCGCCAAGATCCAGCACTCACTCAGAGGGAAAGGCGGGGGAGACTGGTAATTGAGGGAGTGGAGATGTGGTCCGTTGATAAGTCCAGAGAGAGATGGGATGCCAAATACAACAGACCCGTACACATCCTGACAGGGAGGAGCCCTGGGCAAAATCGGGGAATTGTCAGCCATCTTGATATTTTGTACATCAGGAATTCTGCCTTTTGGTCTTCCACATCAGCACCCAGCTTCCCACACGCCCCTCATCTCCACGTGCCCCAACCCCTGTAGGGCATCTCTGGAGCACACGAGAGCAGCATTGATCAGAGTGGGTTAGTAAAGCTGACCTGGATGTTTTCCATTTGATCCTCCATGTGGAGTGTCCACCCCACTCTCATACACTGTGCTCCCATACACTGACTTTTATGCTTTGCTCGGCTGCACTATCTCGTTCCAGGGCTGTTGGTTTGGTTTGATAAGTGGGGAATCCCTGAAAGAAAGCCAAGGGAGGAAGGACAGTGAAGTTGGGACCTTTCATTCCTAGGCTGCCTTCTATCTTTCTGTGTCCCTCAACCAAAAAACAGAGGGCCCTGTACACACAGGAACCCTCCCTCTGGGTTCCAGAGGCCACTCCTTTCCTTCGCCACTCAGGTCCAGATTGGATAAACCATCTCACTTCTACTAGTCCCTGGGCACTGCTTCATCTCTTGTGTGTTCACTATATCCTGCTCACACCCTTGAATGTGATCCCTTTGTTAAAGTCCCCCCAAGATACCCAAATGAATTTGTGTGTTTCCTGTCCATACTCTGGCTGCCGTGAAAAAAATGTCCCCGTGGTCAAATAACTAATAAAATGGATTATTTTTATGGCTAGATTTTTCATAGCCTTAAACATCCATGGTAAATGTCCAAGAGGAAGTATATAGTATGCAGATTCCAAAGCTTTCTTGACCAGAACCACACCCGTTATCAGAGTTCAGAGAAAGTATTTCATGGAACCCAGGTATACACTGGCAAGCAATGAGGTGCACAGCCACCAGAAAACACACGGCTTCTTGGAGTATCCCCTGGGGAGCCCAAAAGAGACTTTCAAAATAGTATGCAAGCTTTCAGACAATGATGCATAAAGAAAAATCCAACCCTAGGAAATGAGACCTAAGACAAAGTCCTGCCTCTGTTTCTTTAAATGAAATCTTAGGTAGAAGCACAGTTCAAAAGACAGAGGGAAACCAAGCTGCTCTGCGTGGGGCAGGGTTGGGGGGATGGTGGGGGGAGTGCTGACTCTCCATACCTTAGACACAATCCCTTAAATGCTGCCCCTTGAGGCACCCCCAAGGAACCCACAGGGCCCCCTGGAGACAGTTTGGGGAATACTGTCCCAGAAGTGCCCTTCAGTGCCTGCTTTGATCTGACCACAAGGTAGTCTTCACGTGAAATCATCGTTGGCCCACACCTGGAAGAGGTAGAAGGAGCCGCTGAGCTTGCACTTAGGGCAAGGCCTGAAAAGAGCCTTATGTGGAATCTTACTTTTTTTATTTCTGAAAATGTGCCACTTTGGGACAACAAATCATTCCCGTTATGTCAGGGCAAAAGAACTTTTGAGCTTATTACACCCTCCTAGCAGGTATCTTCAATACTGAATGACTCTTCCCAGCCAATATTCTAACTATTAAAATATGTGAATGAGTCTGAAATCTGGACACAGATCTCATTCTCCCTGGATACAAAATGTTCAGCCTAAAATGTATTTGAAAGTTTACTGATACCAAAAGATTTAAAAACACTTTTAAGCTACCCAGGGACTAAGGACCCAGCCAGAGCTCCCCTTTCTTCCCCACCCTCCCCCAACATCTCTTAGACTGAGCACTGAGGTTCCGGAATGGTAGGGAGCTAGCTGGAGAGTGATTGGGGAAGATATCCCAAGAGCCTAAGTGAAGCTGGCCATGCCCCAGTGAGAAAGTTAACAAATTCTCTCCCCATAAAGCAACTATGAAGCTGGAGAAAATTAATAAAAACAGCCATTTCAGTGCTCTGGAAATTGACCAAAGGAATACAAAAATCTGAGAAGCATTTATGCTTGACAAACTGGACTGCTGAACTTCCATTAAGAACAGTGAGGGTTTATTAACTCCAGGCATTCTTTCCTAAAGCTGCTCTATCCTCCTCCCAGATCAGTCAGCACAGGCTCTGCCAGCACGAGGCAGGCTCTGAGTAGTGGCAGCTGTGCCACTGTGGTCGAAAGGGACTCGCTGGATTTGGAGCATTGCCTTCTCACCATGCGTAGAGGAGCAGTGCTGTGATTAGCAGCTGACGTCTCATCCAAAACAATGGCAGCCAGAGAAGTTAGGAAGACCTAGTCACAGTACTCAAAGAAACAAACAAACAAAAAACTACCAACCAAGAATCATATATCTAGCAAAGTTACCCTTCAGTAATTAAGGTGAAATAAATACATTCTCAGACATAGACTGAGAAAATTCTTTGCAAGCAGATCTGATTTGCAAGAAATACTAAGGAAACTTCACAAGCCGAAGGGAAATGGGCACCATGACGTATCCACAGGAAGAAATGATAAATATGTAATTTAAATATGTAATTTAATATAAGAGAGTCTATAAAAATATTTTTCTTATGTCTTCTTCTAAATTTTTAAAAAGACATAAAAGTATTTAAAGTAATAACTTTCACACTGTACTGTTGGGTATAATATATGTAATACATACATATAATACATACATATATAATATACATACATATATATAATATAATATATGTATACATACATATACACTCAAAGGTGTGATATATATGACAGTGCAGATGCAAAGGAGGAGGGATTCATTGAAGCAACATTGGAGCAAAGTTTCTACATTCTACTGGAATTAAGCTAATTCTGAAGATTGTGATAAGTTATATATTGTGATCCCTAGAGCAGCCCCAAAGAAAATAAATTTCAAAATATAATGTAAATGTCAAATGAACTAAAACGGCACAATATAAGTAGAAAGACATACCATGCCTATAGATTGGGAGACTAGACAGAGTAAAGATGTTATTTCTCCCTAAAATAATATACTATACGGATTTAATGCAATTCCTATTTACATCCCTGCAAGATGTTTTGTACCTATAGATAATATTATTCTCAAATTTATATGAAAGGGCAAATGAAGTAGAATAGCTAAAAATAATTTTGAAAAAGAAAAATAAAGTGGAAGGGATCAGTGTACTCTATTCAGGAAATATCATGTAGCTACAATGATCAAAACTGTGTGGTATTGGCAGAGGGGTAGACTTGTAGAGAAACAGAACAGAATAGAAAACCCAGACATACATCCATGCAAATATGTCCAGCTTATTTTTTTTTTTTCACAAAGATACAAAAGCAATTTTATGGAAGAAAGAGATCCATTTTAAGGAATGATCCTGGAGTAATTGGATATTCATAAGAAAAAAAAGAACCTCAACTTAAGTCTCCTACCTTATATTTTAAAAAACCTCAAAATGTATAATATCTTTAAATGTAAAATATAAAACTATAAAATATTAAGAAAAAAACAGGAGAAACTCTATGGGACCCAGAGCTAGGAAGAAAATTCTTAAACTTGACTCCAGAAGCACAATGTGTACAATTTTAACAAAACAGTAAATTGGACTTAACATTATAACATTTGCTCTGCATAAGACCCTATTAAAAGAATGACAAGATAGGTTACAGACTGGGCAAAAATATTTGCATAGCATGTATCCAACAATGGACTTGTACTTAGGATGTAAAAATAACTCTCAAACTTAACAGGAAACATACAATCTGATTTAAAACGGGCAAAAGTAATAAAAAATCATTTTACTGAAGAAGGTATACAGGATGAAAAATCAGTACATGAAAAGACATTCAGCATCATTAGCTGTTAGGGCAATGCACATTAAAGCTACAGTGAGCTATCACTACACACCTATCATGGAAACAAATAGCTAAAATAAAAAATAGTGACAACACCAAATGCTGGCAAGGATATAGAGAAATTATACTGCTCATTCATTTCTAGTGGGAATGTACAGTCACTCTGGAGAACAGTTTGGCAGATTATTAAAAAAAACTAAACATGCAATTACCATACAATTGCATTCCTAGTAATTGCATTCCTAGTTATTCATAGATATATGAAGATGTATGTTGACACGCAAACCTGCACATGAATGTGTACAGTCTCTCTAGTCATAATATTCCCAAACTTAAAACAAGCCATATGTCCTGCAACCGGTGGATGGTTAAACAAACTGTGATGCATCCATACCATGGAATATTTACTGCTCAGCAGTACAAAAGAATGAACTATTAATATGTGCAACAACTTGGATGAATGTTCAGAGACTTATGCTTGGTGAAGGAAAAATCCAATCTCAAAGTTTACATACTATATGATTCCATTTATATAACAGTATTGAAATGGCAAAATCATAGATATGATGAGCAGTTTAATAGTTGCTAGGGGTTAAGGAGGGGGTGAGTGCAGGGAGGGAGAGTGTGTAGCTATAAAAGGGCAATGGGAATAATCCATGTGGTGATGGAAATGTTCTGTACCTCGACTGGCAGCGTCAATACTCTGGTTTTGATATATAGTACTATAGTTTTGCAAAATATTACCACTGAGGAAATTGGGTAAAGAGTACATGAGATCTTGGCCGGGCGCAGTGGCTCATGCCCGTAATTCTAGCACTCTGGGAGGCCGAGGCGGGCAGATTGCTCGAGGTCAGGAGTTCGAAACCAGCCTGAGCAAGAGCGAGACCCTGTCTCTACTATAAATAGAAAGAAATTAATTGGCCAAGTAATATATATAGAAAAAATTAGCTGGGCATGATGGCACATGCCTGTAGTCCCAGCCACTTGGGAGGCAGAGGCAGCAGGATTGCTTGAGCCCAGGAGTTTGAGGTTGCTATGAGCTAGGCTGACACCATGGTACTCACTCTAGCCTGGACAACAAAGCGAGACTCTGTCTCAAAAAAAAAAAAGAGTACACGGGATCTTTATATTTATTTATTATAGTTGCATGTCAATCTACAACTATCTCAAAATAAAAACTTAACTTTAAAAAATGATACAATAAAGACAGCATTTATTTTGCTTAAAAGAAATCTGCAATTTGGGCAAGGTTCAACGGGGATGGTTCATATGTGTTCCACTAGTTACAGCTACGGCAGCTAGAAGGCTGTGGGCCAGAGTCCTCTGAAGTCTTGCTCACCGGCAGTGGGTGCTGGCTGCGGACTGAGAACTTAGCTGGGGCTATCAGCCCATATGTGTAGTCGCTTCATGTGGCCTGCGCTTCCTTATGACATGGTGGCTAGGACGCATGGTTGAGTGTGCCAGAAGAGAGAGAGCCAGGTGAAAGGCATGTCACCTTTTGCAACCTAGCCTTGGAAGGCACCCAATGCATCATCCTATTCACTGAGACAGTCACAAAGGCCCTCCAGTTTCAAGGAGTGGGGAAACACACTCTACCTAATTGGGGGGTGGCCAGGTTCAGGAAGAGCATGTGAGACTAGGAATATAACTATGGCCATTTTGGGAAAATACAATGTGCTGCAGTCTGTAGAGACTGACATTCTCTCTTCCAAGCTCACATGACTGCCCATAGCTACCTAATTTATGTTTCATGGTTCCTGCCATACAGAGAGACCAAAGTTCTCTCTTATCATGATCCTTAATTTCTGTAGTAGAAGCTCTAATTGGCTTGGATCAAGCCAGCTGTAACCCCTGGAGCTTGGGCTGCATGGAAGGGGGCAAAATCATATCACACAACTATAGCAGGGAAGGGAAGATACTCCAATAGAAGGCAGGACCATTTTATGAGCGGGCGGAATCACTTTTAGCTAATTGGACAACCAAGAAAATACCAAAGCACATAAGGTAGATTAAAAATACACACACACACACTCACTCTCATCAAGAGACAAGCATAAAACAGAAAAAGTTTATCAGGCAAATGTGAACAGAAAGGAATCTGGGATGGCAATATAAATATTAGATCAAGCGGACTTAAGGGCAAAAAAGGTATTACCTAAGACAGAAAGGGTTGTTTACTAGCAATAAACGGTACAATCTACAAAGAATACATAAGCATCATTAGCTTTTTTGTGCTGAATAATATAGCTGTGAAATACATAAAACCAATTCTGTTACAAATACAAAGAGAAAATGACAGGAACACAAGTGTAGTGGAAGACCTTAAGACATATCCCTTAGTCTTTGACAGATTAAATAGGCAAAGAATGAATTAAGACCAACAGGAACTTGCATAATGGATTTCATGCATCTGATTTAAAAGATATATGTCAATTTTGTACTTTACAAAAATAAAGTATACCTTTTTGCTAAGTGGTCATAAAATATTTACAAAAATTGATTGTATATTAGCCCACAAAGGAAATCTCAGTAAGTTTCCAAAAGCAGAACTTGGACAGGCTCTGTGCTCTGACCATAGTACAATAAAACAGAAAATTAATGGCAAAAGTTCAAACCAACAAACCCAAACACTTTGAAATTTAACAACACTCCACTAAATAACCATTGGGTCAAAGAGGAAATCAAAGCTGCAATTACAGATCATTTAGGACATAACAACAATAAGAACACTGTGTATTCATGCTCATGGAATAATGCCAGAGATAAATTCATAGCTAAAGACATTATATTACTAACAGAAAAGAATGAAAATAAATGGACTAAAGATTCAAGCCAAGAAATTAGAAAACAATGACAAACCAAACCAAAGGAAATTAGGAGGCAGGAATTAACAAATACAAAAGCATAAAATAATGATTTGAAGATAAAAGAAATAGCAGAACTGATATGTATAAGAGGTAGTTCTTTGAAAGAGAATAATAGTATGAATAGATTGCTAATCCAGAAAACACTGACACAGAAAAATAAAGAACAAGAAAAGTTATATGACTTCACAAATGGAGATTTTTGCAAGGGATGCTACAGTTTTAAGCCAATAAAGTTTAAAATGTCCAACGGATGTTTTTCAATGAAAAATAGAAATTAAAAACTGAATTTAAAATTAGAAAGCTTTATATGCAAAGATTGTGTTACCAAGTATGAGAATGAAGTATATATAATTGTTAAGAATGTGGGCTATAGCTCTAGTCTACCTGGGTTTGTATTCCAGCTTCACCTGCTAGCTATGTAACATGGGCAAAATATTCAACCTCTCCAAACTTCGGTCTCCTTATCTGTAAATAGGCAATGATACCTACCTAGTGAATTCATTGCATAGTCAATGAAATACCACAAGCCAAGCCTCCAACACTTTCCTAATAGAGGGACCCCCAAAAAAGACACCACACATTCTGTTGTTGCATTCCTTCAGACTTCCAAAGAACAGATATTTAATATGCCATACTAATGGGTTCAAGGCACACAAAAGGATGGAATGTTATTCACTTGGCTTTACAAAATCATTATCTTGATACAAAATGTTGACAGTGTTAGCACACAAAAAAGCAAATTTTCTTTATGAATATATATAAAATATAAGCAAATAGAATGCAGTGTTGTAATGAAATAAAAAGACACAAGAATCAAATAAGGTATTTCCCAGTAATAAATGAATGGTTCAATATGAGGAAATTTATCAATCTACTTTGCTACATTGCTAGACAATTGACAGTGTGTTGACTTAGAAATGATACTTTTAGTTATTAGCCTAAGGAAATAAGATATGGCCAAAGATTTGTGTTCAAGGTTGTTTGATATAACATTATTAAACTTTTTAACAACCTAAATACTAAAAAATAGGGGAGTGCATAAAATATGCTTAAATATGTTATGCTTAAATGATATATAGACTATATGTGAAACCGTAAACAATGTTTCAAAGAATATTTCAAAACATGAAAATACATTCATGACATGGTCTTCGTTAAGTATAAAAAATATTAAAGTAGTATGTGCAGCATGCTTACATATGGGGAAACTAGATATTTTTGTCTGTATGCATGCGTACATATATGTACGTGATTTAAGTAGCTTCCTAGTTTTTGCTACTGTAAAAATGCTGCACAGAGTAACATACTATTGTCATTTGCACAAGTGTGAGGATCAAATCGCCATGTTTTAATTCATTGGAAGAACTACAATCTGTGTGCAAAATGACACACACAATTATTCATTGTAATATTAAGTGCATATGTTTGTGGGGGGCGTGGGTGTATGTAAGAACACACAGTCATTTATGGGGGGAGGGAATAAAAGGAAAGACAACAAAATGACACAGTGGTTATTTTAGGGCAGTTTTAGTTTTCATCTGTATATCTAATTTTAAAATTTTCTCCTTAATTACAAGATAGGAAAAAGTCAAATGTTGATTGAAACATTTTAAGTGAGATTAAACAAAAGGAAAAGCACTGCACTTACAAATTCAAAACATTTATTCTGTTAGTGACCTCATTTGTAAAAAAAAAAAAAAAACTACAATAAAGATTTCAATTAAGGTATTTAAAGGGTTTTATATAGTGCCTGGAAAATGACAGGCCAGTAATATATATTCACTCCCCTGCACTCCAGTCCCCGTTTAAATCAAGATCATTGTGAGGATTCATTTTTTAAAAAAGCACATGAAGGTATTTAGCACAGGGCATGGGGCATAATTTGTTATCAGCAGTTATAATGGAATCTGAATTCTACACAACCCTTTCCTGGTAACACATAGGCTCTAGTTTTCTAACTAGAAGTGTTTCTCACTCACTGCCTCTCTTTACTGTTCAACCGGGGTTTCTCCTATTTCTTGCATTTGCCTCTGTGATGCTGCCATATTTCTTAAAAACCAAACAAACAAACAAAAGAAAGAAAGAAAAAAAAACCCTGAAATTGATTTTCTCCTTGCCTCCGGAGGACAAGCAAGAAAAAAAAAAATCTGTCCTTTACATCCCTTTCTGGATTCTCTCTTCTGGCTTAGAATCCATTCAGCCTTTGGCAAATGGTTCTTCCCTGGCTATGACTCAGCCTGTCCTGGGAAGGGACAGGATCCTCACTGGGGTGGAGAACCTGCAGCCTGGGGGCCATGTGAGGCCCTCTGGATCCTTGAAGTGAAGTTGGGATTCGGTCAAGGGGCTACACTGTGGGATGCGGAGACACTGTCTGGTAAAAGCACATGGGATGATTTGTCTTGGAAGTGGCCAGAGACCAAAGCTAAATAAATCCTGAGAAAAAGATGCATTGTGCAGCTGGATTAGAAGATGGCCACAGGAAGAGGACTTTGGGACTCACTGGTTATGGAAGGTGAAACGAGGGAAATGGTGATGACTGAATTTCACGTTCCAAGCCCATGGAACATTAGTACCATGGACAGAGGTCTGATGTATGAGATCAATATGACTAGCACATTTTGGTATTTAATGATTTAAGGGCAAGAATTTCAAGGGGATGTCCACAAACAATTTATTATAAAATCTAACCCTATGGATCAGATGCACCTCAGGTTACAGGTGTAGATTTGGGAACCATTTATTTGGGCAAGAGGGTGGAAGCCCTGGAGTAGAGCTGAAATCTTCACAAAGTCACCTGAGCCTTATGGAGCCCTGGTATTTAGAGAAGATGGGGTAGAGTGAAGGAGCCAGGGAATGAGTAGCCAGAGAGTATAATGCCAAAGGCAGGAAAGATGGTTTCAATAAGATGTAAGGAGATGGACACAGATATCGCAGCCCTGCAAGGAGGACAGAGCTGTAATCCATGGTTTAGGTAAACTAAAGCAAAGACCTCATGCCTTACCTCTTGCCCTTGCTTTAGTTGAAATCAGATATATGCACAAATGAAAAACAAGAATACAATGTTGAGTTGAAGCAATAGTGCAATACTGGAGTGTACTGTAGTGGTAAGCCAAATCTTCATTCAAACAATGTTAAAAGTCCTTGGAATGTCTTGAACTCTAGGCCTTGGCAACTGTGACTGTATTAATTTTGGGGATCATTCAATCAAAGTGAGTTTTTGCATTATTAATAATGGAAATGCTTTTGAACTATTAGGCTGTGTCATTTAAAGGTAGGACAGAGCCTAGAATTCAGGACTCCTGACCTCAGGCAGTAGACCCAGGACAAATCAAAGCTCTATAAAGCATAAGCTCCTAAGTCAAGGCATCCTTTTTCTGGTTAACCACACCCTAATACCCCATCACCACCACCAAAAGAATCCACTTTCCCTGCCCAGTCCTCCACCCCCTGTATGCAGACTTGTCTCCGCCCTTTTCTCCTCCAGTCACCCCGACCCCAACAAAGCCTCTGTGTTAGTCAGCCAGATCAGGGATGTGGGTGGGTCACCATGGTGACAGAGGAAGCCCTGCCACAGAATGAGAGAGACAGAAACAGCAGGGGAAGTTTCTTTAAGCCTAACACAGTGACCTCTGCCTTTCTTAGAAGTGCTTCTTTTAATCCAGAGAAGCACATGAGAAGTAAAGAGATGTTTTGATGTTGGAGAGACAGTGGAATGCCTGAACTCTTCTTTACGATTGTCTTTTCTATGATTTTCAGGTGATCACCAGTCTAACCATCCGATTTTCACCAGTGCTACCCAGCTCCCTCCACATGGTGAGAGATGATTGAGAGCACTCTGCATTCCACCCTCATTCCCAGTGGGGCCATTCTATCTACTGATGCCGACCAGGGCATCAAGCACATGGCCATTGACTCACGGAAACTAAGGAGGTGTGAGGAGCCATGTGCAAACCTCCCCCCTCCCCCCAGGACCACAATGCTTCTCTCTCACTTTGAGACTATTTTCCCCTTGGTGTTTCTGTCTCTGATATCAGAGTGAGTGATCTTCTGCCCGGGAAGGAAAGGAGGTAGACCATTTCTTGATCAATTTCTACTTACAGTCCACAATCACTGTTTGCAGTCATAAATTCCACATGTCCACGACAAGGAGTGTGACACTCTCCTTTACCCAAAGCTACTGTGGTATCATTTACAAAGGACAGGAGACTTCGTCAAACTATATCAATTCTCTCCAAACTCATTAAGATTTGATACAACTCAAAACTGATTTGGGCTTTAGCCTCTTGGCAGGGGACGAGGCTGGAAGCTGTCGAGCAGAGGAGTGTTGGCATAGTGTCAAAGGGTGACAAAACCATGCTTCCCTCTTAAGTTATAACATCCTCCCACCACATCACAACTTAACTGAGAAAAACTATTTTGGGCACCTGCTTCAAACTCAATAGAACGTGAGACAGCCATGTAAATGGTGAACCGTCAGTCATTTTTGTCTCTTTGTTCTGAAAAAGTGAAAACATCATTAAAGTTTTAGTGAGAAAGAAACTCAGAACAAAGATAAATTCTGCAGCCGACCTGGTAGGGGGACCTACCACTGCCGTGTCAGATTACGCTGTGCCTCAGCACCCAGGTTGAGAGATACCATAATTAGGAAGAGGAGAGGGGAATATTTTGATGTTCTACACTCCTGGTAGAAATGTGATGAAAGCAACAGTATAATCAGATGTGTCAGGTTGCGGGGTCTAAGAAAAATTAGATCCGGGAGAAACGGGAGAGATCAGTTAAAAGAAGCTGCTACCAGTGGTGATGTTGACAGTGGGGACAGAAGGAGGGCTGAGCCGTGGAACATGTTGAAGAAAGCGTTGGGAAAGCTTCCTCACTCACTGAATACGGCTGATGAGAGCCATTATGAGATTGATTAGGAGAATGAGGGGGTGGGGGTCTATTAACACAATCTAAGGAATCAGGAGCAAGGCCAGTGTGGAACGGGATGGTGAGTTTGGATCTGGGCTCCTGGAATTTGCTATGACCATAGGATATGCAAGAACAATTGTTTGGAGTGTAGAAATGAAGCCTGGAGGGAGGGTGGAGCTGAGGATGTGAGTGCAGCTTTGGAGGCAGTGGCGGAAGCCTCGGGCGCAGGGGCAATCTGTGCAGGGACGATGGGAGGGAGAAGCAGAAGGCGGAGGCAGGGAGCCAGGGGATGCCCTTGGTGAGCAAGCAGCAGCAGGAAGAGGAGCCGAAAAGGCAAGCACAGAGAGCTCCCACTTGCTCAGCAGCATTCTCAGAGAACAGCTACCGGGCTGATCTTCCTCAGGAGCCAACACAGGCACAGACTCCTGAATACAAAAGGAGGAGCCATTCTTCCCTCCTTGTCTCCCTGCCTTCTCTCTTCCAACTGGTGCAAGGAGAAGGGAGTGGAGGGGACCCGGTCCCTGCCGTGGAGCAGCGCACAGGGCAGTGGGAGCAGAGCGGCCTCTGCATTCCTTCCTCGCATGTTAGACTGTTCCCCAGAGCTGGCAGAGTGACTCTTAAGAGAGGAGGGGGACCGTGTCTGCTTAATGCTCTACGAGGAGCATTAATTGGACCCTTATATTGTGGGCCAAGCATTTAGGAAGGAATCAGAAAAACTGGCAAGCGAGGCTCTGCTGTCCAGGAGATTGCAATCTTTGGAAATCGACAAGCTCAGCTCAAGTCAAATTATTTGAGGTCAGTTAGATACTAAACTGGGTGGAACCGACTAGAAGAGCAGTACAGACTAGAAGAGCAGATACCAAGATATGGCATCGTCACAGTGGAAAGCCTTGAGTAAGGGGGGACCTTGACAGAGGAAGAGGAAGGGAGGCATTCCAGTGGTGGGGAGGACATGCAGGGGCTACCAAGTGGAGGCAGGAGGCAAGGGAGAGCGGGCCTGGCTCCATGACACGCTATGGAGCACAGTGGTGGAGCATCAGTGCCCAGAGATATTGCGTTTGGAAGTGGGTAATAAGCTGAGTGATGCCCTCAGAGGGATTATGATGCCAACGGGCAGAGGGAAGCTCACTCCTCTCCAGCATGGCCAAGGTGAAGACACAAGGGCAGAGTGGCTAGTACCCCCTCTGGGGAGGGGCACTCCTAGCTTCCTGCCCACTCCACTTCCTGGCACCCGTCCCGATCCATGACAGGAGGCTCCTTCTGCACAGCATGTTCTGCTCTCTCGGGGATGGCGACCACCCCCACCCCCTCACACGTGTACTGAGCTGGTGTGAGCACCAGCGCATTGGCTGAGCTCCCCTGGCTGCATCCCCAGTGTCAGGGTGACAATGCAGGCAGGAGGGGACAAAGGAGCCAGGAGTCCCCTGTGCGTGGGGCTGCCCTTGAACGAGGCCTGGGACGGCTTCTGTCTCTCCCAAGACCCACAGAATTCCTGCTTGCCATGGGTTGGCACTCTCTGCCAAGAGGCAGGGCAAGCCACAGTCCTGCCCCACACTTGCCCCTTCTCAGAACTTCTTTGGCCTTGAAGTGTCTCAAACCAAAGAGGATGGAGGGATGATGCCGCTAGGCTGCCGCCTCCCAGCCACCTGATTCTGGGAATGGTACCACCGTTTCCCCAGCAACCAACTATTGCCCCCTCCCCCCCACTGTGACTGCTCCTCCTCCAGTCCTGAAGCACTGAGCCCTGCTGGGCTTCCTGCTGGGGCCTCCATCCCTTTCTGTCCTGCATGCTCACTGCCACTCCCTCACCTGCCCTGCACTCCCCCGCCCCTCTCCTGCCTTCCTCCTGCTCTGGAGGAGCCCAGCTCACCCCACCTGTGCCCCCACCAGTCAGTCCCTTGGCTCCCCTCTCCCCTCTCCTCCCACCTCTCCCTCCTGTCTCTTCAGAGCCCGCATCCAAGGCCCAGTCTCAGGGAGCAGGGAGGAGGGAATGATGTGCTGTGCATTTTGCCTGCATTCTGCCCTCCAGTGGCTTAGCGGTGGCTAAAGGGGGAGGGGGGACTTAAGGGCAGGAATTAAAGTACAATAACATGGCTGTGTGGCTCCCTGCGGCCTGTCGGGTGTGGGGCTTCCCAAGGTGGGAGAGGCCCCCACGAGGGGTGGGATGATGAGGACCTCGTAGGGATGGAGCGGGGATTGGAGTCTCGGAGACCTGGGTCCCGGACCCGGTTCCTCTGTGGGTACGTAGACAAGATAATCCACCCCATCTCCTCCAGCTCAGACTTTTCTACCCCTGAGAGCTGGGTGTGCCTGAAGCTATCAGGACAGGGACAGCGCCTGGACGCAGGAGATGACTTCAGGACGCCCGGAGTTGTCAGGCTCACATTTTCACCAGCCAACCCAGTGCTGTAGCAGGAGAAAGAACCCCTCCCTTAGACTCAGAGTCACATCTGCCGTTGTCAGAGTGGGGAACTGTTGCACCAGCCTGTTCTGTGCTGCTGTAAAGAAGATCCCCGGGGCTGGGCAGCTTAGCACCGAGGGAAGCGGTCTGTGTGGCTCACGGTTCTGCAGGGGGGCTGTGCACGAGGCGTGGCGCCAGCATCTGCCTCTGCCGAGGGCTTCAGGAAGCTTCCAGTCAAGGCAGAAAGGGAAGTGGAGCAGGAGTGTCGCATGGTGGGAGTAGGAGCAACAGGGGGTGCCAGGCTCTCCTAAACAGCCAGCTCCCGTGTGAACCAATACAGAGAGAACTCAGTATCGAGGGGAGGGCACCAGCCTGTCATGAGGGATCCACCCAGGACCCAGACACTTCCCGTCAGGCCCCACGTTCTGCACTGGGGATCAAATTCCAACACGAGATTCAGAGGGGCCAAACATCCAAACCATATCAACTGTCATGGTGGCTGGCAGCAGCCAAAGCAAGCACCTGCCCCCAGGCTTGTTGACAAGTGGAACTGAGCATGAGGGAAACTGAGTCAAGCACCCCCTGTGTCCTAGCACAGAGGGCCAGGAAAGCAGGATGGAGGCTGTAGTCGGTGATGAGGCAGAAAAGGAAGGAATAGAACCTGGACTCTTCCCTCATGCCTGCCTCAGCCTTGGTCCCCACTAACAGAATGCGTCCCCCCATTTTCTTGCAGAGAAGCCACGGATGAACAACATCCTGACATCGGCCACCGAGCCCTATGACCTCTCCTTCTCCCGCTCTTTCCAGAACTTGGCCCACCTGCCCCCATCCTACGAGTCTGCAGTGAAGACCAACCCCAGCAAGTACTCCTCTCTGAAGAGGCTGAGTAAGCCATATTCCCCTGGGAGGTTTGGGGTCTGTCTTTGGGGTCTCCAGCACCTCCTCTTATGTCTCACTTTCTGGCCCCATACCCAAGGGGTCAAGTGTGAAATTGCAAGAACAAAGAAGGAGTTGTAGGGTGGAAGAAGAGAATAGACAATCCCCTTGCTTTTATTCTTTATGGCCTGAGTCCTTTATTTTCACAGTCAGAGGCCGTAGCATCCTCAGATCCACATTCCCCTATGGGACAACATTTCAACTCATGCACCAGTTTAACTGCAAAAGAAGCCTTCCTCCAGCCCCATGCCCCACCTGCCTTCTTCAAACCATGGGCCTTCCTTGCTCTAATCCTATCTTGGAACTGAGGTAGCAATGGCCAGAGCTTTCTCTGAGACCCTTCCGAGAGATCCACACACTAGGTCCCCCTCTAACGAGGTCAACACTGTCTCAAGGCCCTGGGCCTCTCCCCCTCCCACACACACCCCATTTCATCATTCCAATCCCGTGTATCCAGTGATTGCAGCTCTACCATTTGAGTCTGGGAATTGATGGGTTTAAGACACTCATATTTCAAGAAAGTACGTTGAGGGACTTTCTCGTCTTTCTTGGCTTTCTGACCCTTGGACCTTCTCTTCCCATTTCCCCCTGAGTCTCTTTTGATGACCACCCAACTGCTGTTGGAACCCTAGGGCTGAGCATTTGCCTGAAGCTGTGGGGTAACCTACCCTGGCAGAAGTTCAACCCGAGTCCACACCAGCCACCTTCATGGTGGAATGTTGAGTCTCTATGGCTAGATGTTGGCATCTCTGATGACCTGAGGAATCTGATGGATGCTCTGGGTGAGGGAACATGGCTCAGGAGACAGGATACCCATCGGTGACCCTCTGGGCCAAACGAGGAGCAGACAGCATTCCCACACTTTGCTGGGCGCTAGAAGGCCATCCATAGGAGGCCTCATCCCTGAATTTGGGGCAATGCAGGTTTGTGTGTAACATGCAAGTCCTGCGTAAGTACGTTCAAGGGCACAGAAGGCAGTGTGAGCCTGGGAGGGCTTGCTGGGCAGAGTGGAGGGTGGAGCCTCTGAAGGAGGTGCACACATAGGACTGCTCCAGCCCGCTCGTGCCGTGGGCGCAGGCGGAGTATGTAGGCTGGTCATGTGGCCGCGTGGGGGCTGGATGCCGCGTATTGGCTTCCGGCACATCCGCTGTTACTCCAGAGAAGGTGTTACTATGTTCCTAAGTTACCAGCTAGGCATTTTCACAAGCGCCTCCTAGTTGGAGCATCTTACTGTGCTCTCGCAGGCGGCTGGCTCTGTGACCCAGCTTTCATCCAGCGAGGCTCTGGCCCTATTAAGAAGGTGAGCTGCTGCACGGGCGCTTAGGCAAGTCAGGGAGCATTCTGTCTCAGAACCCTGGAGCTCGGGGAGTCAGACTGGCCGCCAACTCTGCCACGAGCTCTCCAGGGACCTTCAGGGCGCCCCTTTGCCCCTTGCTCCTCAAGGTGGCCCATGGACCGGGTGATGAGCATCACCCATCAGCTTGTTAGAGCCGCAAGCTCCTGGGCCTGCCCCAGATGCACTGAATCAGAATCTGCACGTAACAGCTGGGGGTGGTTTGCACGGCCCGCGGGGAAGCACTGCCTTCACCTGTCCTCATCCATAACGAAAGGGGTTGACCATGTTATCCTAGGAGATTTCCAGGTCTGTGGTGGAGCAGGAGGGGTGCAGGGCTCTCCCCAAATCCTGGCTTCAGTGTCACCCCACTTGCCTTCTCTCTCCGTGTCTCACCCCTGCAGCCGACAAGGAGGCTGACGAGTATTACATGAGGCGGCGGCACCTGCCTGACCTGGCCGCCCGTGGCACCCTGCCCCTCAATGTCATCCAGATGTCACAGCAGAAGCCCTTGCCACGGGAGCGACCCCGCCGGCCCATCAGGGCCATGTCCCAGGACAGGGTCCTGTCCCCGGAGCGGGGCCTGCCCGATGAGTTTGGCATGCCCTACGACCGCATCCTGTCGGATGAGCAGCTGCTGTCCACGGAGCGCCTGCACTCCCAGGACCCGCTGCTGTCCCCGGAGCGGACGGCCTTCCCCGAGCAGTCGCTGTCCAGGGCCATCTCGCACACGGACGTCTTTGTGTCCACGCCCGTGCTGGACCGCTACCGCATGACCAAGATGCACTCCCATCCCAGTGCCTCCAATAACTCCTACGCCACCCTGGGCCAGAGCCAGACGGCAGCCAAGCGCCACGCCTTCGCCTCGCGCAGACACAACACGGTGGAGCAGCTGCACTACATCCCCGGCCACCACACCTGCTACACAGCCAGCAAGACCGAAGTGACCGTGTGACCCGCGGGCAGGGCCGGGGCTGCTGGGCGGGGCGGGGCGGGGCCGGGGCCAGGAGCAGAGCTTCTAGCCTTGCAGCTCTCCCTCCCCTCGGCCCCTCTGTCGGAGGTGGGGGGCCACCCTTGCCCAGAAAGCCATACCCCGGGACAGAGCTCCGATGGCCTGGTTGCACACACCCAGACCTGGGATCTGGCGTGATCGTGATCGTTCTCTCTTCCAGAAGAGTCAACGGGGGATGAGGAGGGTCTAGGCCCCACTCTCACCCCCACCACCTCCACCAACTCCCTTCCCCCCCCCCCCGTTTCCCCTCCTGGGGACTCAGCTGCAGCTTCTGTCAGCCAAGAGACCCTCGCCTGGCCCTGGTCCGAAGCTGCCTGGGTTTGACTTGGCCAGCAGGTGCAGTCAGTGGGCTGACCGAATAGGCTACTCGGCCTCATTCATGTCCCTAGAACCGCGTCACAGAAATCTTCTAGTGCCTAAAAACTGCCTGCTCGCTCTCTCAGAGCCAGGGAGCTGCTGTGTCCATAAGCACAATAACGACCCTCTTCTTGCCTGCTGGGACCCTCTGGTCCCCACCGAGTGGCCCTTCCTGCGCTGACCCCCGAGGGCCTGCCCTGGCCCTGCGCCCTCTCCTCTGCCCCGGCGCGGTGGGGGGGGGGTCCCTCCCTTCAGCTGCCTCCCCCTTGCAGCCCACCCACAGGCCCCCAGCCGGTCCTTTGCGGGGGGGTGGGGGGGGGCTTTGCTCCTCCCCGGCCCTGGGTGTTCTGCCCTGAGTTCTCTGGGGCTTTGGCTCCAGCCTTCCCAGAGGGGAGTAGCGATGGGGTGCAGGGACTTTGGGGGTGCCTTCCCTAGCTAGCCAGTTATCTCCACATCCCCTCCAGGCCTCTGGATCTGAACTATGACTGCCACTCAGGCCTGCCTTCTCCACCTTGCTCTGCTCCTGGGAGGCGCCTGCAGTGGCCAGACAGCCAGGGCGGGGAGGGCCACTGTGATGCCCAGGGTCTCAGGAGGGCTCTGCCGTCTCCCGCTGTGCACCTCAGGCAGGACGGAGGCAGAAGCTTCTAGACAGCAGCTGCTCAGCCCCTAAACAAGAAGGACCTGAGGTGGTTGTCCTGCACCCTGCCTGCTCCCCTGTCCCGGCTGCCCCCTGCTCTGTTCAGAGCTCACTCTCCCCACCCCTCTCCCTGCCCTGCCTCCCATCCTCCTGAAGCTCCATCCCTCTCTCCTGGCTGCTCCTTCTTCAGACCTGTGCCTCCTCTGGATCAAAGGGACAAAGACTATTAGCAAAAGCAAATAACAGGTTCTCCAGGCTACAGCCTGGGGGCACCTGGGCAGCTCCCCACCACCTCAATCCCTCCCTGCAGGGCACCGAGGGTCAGGCAGACCCAGGCTCTGGGCTCTGTGGGGCCACCACTGTCAGCCCACCTCAGCCCCTTTCCTGTCTTGGCCTGGGGGTGGGCTTGGTGTGACAGCCACCTGGGGAGCGGGCAGTGGATTAAGCATCATCCACTACCCTGAGACAGGAGCTGGGGTTGGGGAGGGAGAGAAGGGGCTCCCCCATTCTCAGGGCCAGGGCACCTCCCTGGGCTGGGGCTGGGGAATCAGCTCCAGACTGTTGGGTGAAGGTGTGACACTAAAAATAGGACTGTCCCCACAGTCAGACTCCATCAACAATCCCCTTAAATGGGGTTTGACATTCCCTCAGTTCTGCATGTGTGGCCCTTTCAAAAGGCAGGTGTCGGGGGAAGAACTCCTCAGTGTCAACCCTGGGAATGTTTAATCTAACCAAGTCCACAAACCACAGAGAAATCAATGGACGGCTTCCTCTTACTGATTTCAAGGCTTCCAAAGCACTTGTTTCCTCCCTTGCCCAACGCTTGCTCCCAGCCAAGGTGAACAGGAAACCATGGCATGAATCTTGAGGGGTGGAGGTGGGGTTGCAAGAGCAGCCTTCGGCCTCCCCCACTTGGGCAGTCGTCCCTGGGACTGTGCAGCCTTGAGCCAGGGATGGCCCCACCGCCCTCCCCGCAAACACATAAACCTCCTTAAGGGCTGGTCCCCACGGGTTTATGAGAGTTTGTTCCAGAAGGCAAGGCAAAGAGGGCTGGAAAGGAGGAAATTCGTCTAAGTAGAGCAGTTGATCACCCCCAGAAACAAAAGGGGTGTCTCACCGCCGGGCCCTAAGCCCAGCACCCTTGAATCTGCTGGAAGTTCTTGGCAGTCCAACGGTGGAGAGGACAAAGGGCTGGCGTGGGTGAGAGGCCCCTTCCCCGTTGTCTACACACCAGCCCAGAAAGCTGGTCTCACCTCCGGCTTCCAGGTTCTCCAGCCCTCCCTCGGGGTGACGCCTTTCCCCGGGGCTGTCCCCAGCCCTGTCTCCGACAAGGTCTCTGTCTGTCTCAGGGGTTGTTTGATAGGTTGATTCCAAAACATTTCTCATCCCAGCCTTGGCACTGTGAGGTTTAAAGCCTCTGATGTCGGTTGGACTGGAAAATTCCACCTGAATGCTTACTTCTTCACCCTCGGCCCAGAAGAGAGAAATGGAGGGAAGGAGGGAAGCAGAGAGGTAATAAAAAGAGAGAGAGAGAGAGAAAGAGAGAGAGCACGATAGGTCTACAGACTTGCTCCCATTCAGTCCCCCATTTGAAAACAGTGTCGTAACTGGAACACAGAGGTGGCCCATTTATTCAGTTGTCCCATCCATCTTTATAGAACAGGCAAAGCCACGTCACGAGTCAAGTTCACACGGCAGATAAAAGAGCATCCATTCTGGAACCCAGGTGCTGTGACTTCCAGGCCAGTGGCCTCTAGTACACAGAGAAGGGTCATCTTCCCCTATAACAGAAGCTCCCCTCCTGGAAAGGGACACCTAAGTCCTGAGATGTCCCTGTGCTCGTTGTTCTGTTGTGCACATCTCCATTGCTCTGATAGGTATGGACGTGGGTCTTCCCAGGTTCTCTCCTGCCCTGAAAGTTATCCCTGCTATCCTTGGCCTGGAATGGCAGCAGCTGTCCTGATGCCCTATGACCCCCCTCCCTCCCGTCTTGCTTCCTGCAGTTAGCTCCTGGCTCATGAGTCAAAAAGGCTTTGCCCAGACTCCCTGAACCCCCTAATGAGGCTTTTGCCCTCAGGGCTCCCCAGTGTCTCGGGGAGTGTCTTGGGCCATGGGTCTGTCCCTTAGAACGTTCTAACCCTTTCCCAAATTCAAATGTTTCCCTCTCTTTCCACTCTCACTCCCCAAAAATGCTGTCTGAACCTCAATCTTCATGCCAGTTCACACTTTGCTTCCTTGCATCTCCCTCTCCATCCACTCTTCTCTGTCCCTGGTCCTGCTACGGTCTCTAGTTCTACACATCAGAGCTCTCGATGGAAACAGTAGAAGAATCAGACATTCTTCAGGTCTTCTGCTTGTCCCATTGGTGTATCCTTCACCCCCTGCCCGGGTGAAATAGTACCCCAGTGTGTACAGCCAAGGGCTCTCCCCTCTGATCTTCGGGAGGAAGAGGAAGACCTCCGATGGTCAGCTATGTTTCCTGTGGCTGGCAAGTGCCCTGCAGCTCCTGACCCAGCGCGCTCTTAGCCCAGAGGCTCCTACTCTGGCCAAAGACTCATATCCGTGGGGGCTCTCAGCCACTGCCCCCACTCACTTGTCCCCTCCCTGCTTGTGTGAGTCTCATATCTCGATGTGTCCCCAAAAGCTCTGCGGGCCTCATGAGTCTCTAAGCATGGAGGAGTATCCATACCAACATCACTGCCACCAAACTCAATCCATTTTCTTCAAAGATACCTTGTCTGCCACCAGCCACCAGCCTCCACCCTCAGATTCCTTCCACCCAACTGTGGACTTGACCCAAGGCAGTATGAAAGGGCTGCCAATCACTTGGGCCCTAGAAGGCACCTGCTCTGAGAGGAGCTGACATGTCACCTCCCACATACATTCCTGTCATCCTCTCTGAATCTGGGAAACTTTGCTCTGGAGTATTTTCAAGAAAGAGCATTGTGTTTTAATGAAGAATTTTTCAGGGTTCAAATGTTATTTTTTATAAAAGCAGCATTTTAATGGCAGGTTCAATATGAAAGATATGTCTTCCTGGGCTCCGTATTTGATTTGGGAAGGCAGAGAAAAAAAAAAAAAAAGCACAGGGCTCAGGCTCTGGAGACACAGCTTCCAGCCCTGGCTTTGTCTCCATCTTGTTGTGTGACTGAGGGCCACTCATGTCCCCCACTCAGTGCCTCAGTTTCCCCATCTTTAAAACGAGGGGCTTTGATGAGATGAGCTCTGAAGTTTCGTCCAGCTTTTACATTCTAGGGCTTTCATTCCCGGCCAGCACCCGCTCCCTTCCTCATGTCCCTGCCCACCTCCACCTAACTACAGCCATCCCCAGTGCTGTCCCCGGCGGCAACGGTCCTCAGATGCCCCAGACAGCCCCAGACATCCCCAGGCAGCCAAAGGACTCCTCACTGGAGCCTGGGTGGGCCGGACGGGCTCGGCCACCTGGGGGTGCTCCCGACCCTGAAGGTTTCCAGCCATTCAACAGGTCACCTACCGTGTGTCACAGAAGCCCTCTCATAGAGACACACCTAAACCATCCTGGGCGGCTGGGGAATTCTAGGGGACTCTGAGTTTGGAGTTTCCATTTTGGATACGGTCCTTATAGCTGGAGGGAGACGGTTCTAATTTCAGAGAGGGGACTGACTGGAGAAGAAAGGTTTGGAAGGGCAAACCTCCACGAGGGCATGGGGCTTGTATCTGAGGGCAGCCGGAAAACGTGTTCCAAGCCACAGAGGAGCCTGCCTGGCACAGGCTCCGTGTGGCAGTGGGTGTCATTATATTCCACTCGGGAACATTCGTCTTGAAGACCCCATGCGGACACGAGGCTCCGCCCCAGCCGGAGGATGAGGAGGAGGCATCACCACCTGGGCTGCGAGGAGGTGGGCGCCCACCCATCCCGGTATCTTTGCAGCCTCCCCTCGTGGCACGACCGTACTCCCAGTGAAGGCTTGTGAAGCAGGAATGGAAAGTCCAAGTCCGTGTCATCAAACCCATCTTGTAAATCAGGAAACACATTAGCCTTCTATCATTCAGAGAAATGACGCTGTGATCGTGTGTTTCTTCCGTGTCCTCCCTCCCGTGGGAGGAGAAGACCCTGCTCAACTTTGCTGCCCACCCTGCGGTGACCCCTGAGTGCCACTCCATGGGAGGACTCAGTCATTGGCTTCATAGTGGCAAATACCCCTCTAGTTCTATAACTCAACTAGACATTTTGTAGTAAAGAATTCTTAAAATTCTCTAATAAAAAGCAATTCTTACTATAATATTTTTAGTTTGGGGACACGATTTCCTAAGGGGGGATTAATGAACATTTTTATGCATTAGCCCAGTTTATCGATTCCATGTTTATTATATGGTAGTATTGATGAAAAAAGTACCTTTCTATCTGTATCTTTGCACAGTTTCTTCATTACTCATATGTAAGCTTCATGATGGGCAGTGCTCTTGCAACTGCTTCTCTGTACAAATCTCGTCATTCTACTTACCTGTCAAAGCACATTCTATATGTACTGTAAACAGATATCACTTTAGTAAGATTTAGTCTTAAGGATTTTTCCACTTTTGTCAGTAACTGATATTTATGGATTAAAAAAATAAAGCCGTTTCAACATAACCTGTGTCCCTTTAAGTAGCCATGTGCTTACTTTTACAGCCGAGTCAAAACCAAAGGTAATTAAATAGTGAGTAAGAACGTAGAAGACCCTTGGAGTTGAGGGTGGAAGCTTGGATTATTTGCAAACAGGGGCTAGGGAACTTTTAGGGTGATGAGAGTATTTTAAAACTGGATTGTGGTGATAGCCACACACCTCAATAAATTTGCTAAAAATCACCAAAGTATATACTTAACAATAGGTGAATTTTATGATATACAAATTAAACTACAATTAGGCTTTTTAAAATGGGGAACAAAAGGAATGTAGGAAGGTAGTCGCTGGACAAGGACCCGTGGACAAGGTATCCCAATTCAAGGCAGAATTGGATGTTCTGACTTTGTTTCCATACTCATCTACTCCAGCACTATTTATTATTCTTGGACATTAGGGCTTAGTTTGATTTTAGAGTTAGTTCTTATAGCTACCACGGGTGATTAGAGAGTACTGGTAGTCAAATATCCAGGCCATTTAACCCAGAGAATCGGGTTATACCATGAAAAATCATTTAGATTTGGAGTTTTGTTCAGGATTCTCTTTATCTGGACAGGTTTTAAATATTGATTTTATTATCTTTGGCACATACTCACTTTTGCTGCTAAAGTCATCTGTTGTTCTGTGTTTCTGAATTTTCACCAGAGCCTAGATACCAGTGGGCTCAGGTTCAGCAAACAAAGTGTTGCCAAACAGGACAGTTGGCCAAACACCCAATTTCAGCATCTCCATAGTTCCTGGACTCCACAGACAATCGTACTGTTACTAACTCCCCAGCTCCCTTGTAAATAAAATTCTTCTCATTGAATGCATTGGGCTTATATTCAAAAATTCTTTTATTCTCTTCTATCAGTGGAATTCATTACCTAGGACAAAGTTACAAACCTGTTTATTATTCCTGTGCATTGTGGCACATAACCACACATATTCTGAAATGTATTTATTCATTACAGCAATCACTATTGTAGTGCAATTACTTCTAAGTTATACTGTCCGTAACTCATGATGACTCATGGCAAATATAAACACACATATACACATATTACAAGTATAGGAAAGCTTCATTAATCTATATCCAGTGTTAGAAGGAAACCCAAAGGAAAACAAATTATGAATTGAAGAATTTTTTTCTCTGTCATTTAATTATAATGCTCACAAGTATGTGTGTGTGTGTGTGTGTGTGTGTGTGTGTGTGTGTAGACTAAATTAGAAACTCTCAGGAGACCTCCTTTATTGAACATGTAAGAATAATATGTAATTAAAATTAAAATGAGGTATGGGTCAAGAGATATGGGTCAGAGAGTTCTGAACATGTTTTAAATCATGCTTCTAAAATACTTTAAAAGACTTTTCTTAAATAGGCTAAATAGCCCCCTTTAAATAGCCTAACTCTAACAATTTGTTCAACCTTTTATGTTTGATTCTCAAAGGTAAACCTTAACATAGATCCTGTCACAATTGTTGCTAATTCCAAATTGGTAAAATCTGAATAAATGAGGTTTTAATATACCATCATTAACAAGCCCCGGCCAAAGAAAACTCGTGTTGGAAGCTGAGAATCTAAGAGTCTTGGACAGCTTTTCACTGGCAGTGTCACTGTAGAACTAATTTTCTTCTTTAAGCATGAGAATGAAGCCCCAAACCTCTCTCTAGGAGGGTGCAAGAAAGATTTCCCTGTAAGGAGCTAAGAAGACCTAGGACATTCACTGTTTGGGTTGAAAATGTCAGGAATGGAAAAGCCAGAAAGGGTTTGGGAGCAAAGCTTGGAAAAGGAATGCCTTGGAAGGGCCAGAATGTTAAGAGATGACCAGTGTCATCTCTGGGCCTTGGATTCCTCATCTTATTCTAGTAATTTTTATTTTGTGGATGTGTTGGCCAGTGACATCTCAGGGATTTGGTTTTCTCATTTGTAACCACTGGGAAATTAGATAGACTCAAGATCCTTCCTGTATCCATCATTATATATCATTTAATTATCACAAAATGATACTCTAATTATATGCAGGCTTCTAGGTAGCTGAAAGAGCTCCGGAGTCCTAATCCTTGTCCTGCCCATCCTTTCTCATCACATGAGAACAGGATGTACTTGAAGAGCACTGGACTGGGAGTCAGGAGACCTTGTTCATTGGACTGGCTCTGCCAGCGTTTTGCTGTGTGATCTAGCGTTTTGCTGTGTATTTATCCTCCTCAAATCTCAATTTTCTCAAGTAAAACAAAATGAGTGGTCCAGACACAGGCAACCTCTAAAATGTGTCTCAGCCTCTTTAGTCTGTTTTCTGTGACTTTGCCCAGACTTTGCTGGGCACTGCTGAGCTTAGCCAGTATGGTCCATGGCAGAAGGGTAGAGTGAGCGTGGGGATGGATAAAACTCTTGGCTGGAGCCACCACTTGTGAGATGGTGTCTTCCCGGTTGCCAGCATATTTACCGTTGTGTCAACAGGATGGCTGTAGAGGAAGCAAAAATATTGAACAAGAGGAAGAACAAGGTCCTCAGAAAACTGTCTCGTCTGTTTGACTTTTTTTGTGATTTCCCCAAATCAGCAACTTGGCTGTCAAAGAAATCCCAAAGAATGCATTTTCACAGAAAATTCTAAACAGTTGGTTATTTTACTGTGTTTTGTCCTTAGAAACCAAGCTCTAATGTGTGCTTCAGTGCCAGAGCTCTTTCCACAAAGAGGAGAACAATTGTTTCACCTCCAGTCTCAATCACAACCTCAAGTCCAAGTTCTGGAGATGTGTGGCGAGTGCAGTATACGGAGACTCGCCCCATTTCCAACTGCGTGTACCTTAAGGATTCTTTCTTGGACCATTTATAAGAGCTTTTCCTGCTGGTTCATCAGAGCAATCACAGAGAAGACCTTTCCTGCTACATAAGGAATGCTGGCCCATATACTGGTCTTCATTTTAGACTTAGAGAAAACTAAAAATTGTCATCGGACCCAGTGCTACTCAAAGTGTGGTCCACAAAGCAGCCACGGCACCGTCTGTTCCCTGGGAGCTCACTGCGAAGCATGTTCCCAGTGCCCGCCCCAGACTTTTCGGACCAGAATCTCTGGGGGTAGGGCCCCGGAACTTGCATTTTAACAAGATCCTTAGGTGATTCTCTGCACACTATAGTTTGAGAAGCACATCATTGTGCATTTTTCTTCCCAGTTTTGATATTTATAACCCTATAGCAAGAATAAAGGCTTGGAATTCTGGGCATCAGAGTAGCCTTGGCCTGTGTAATCTGACAATTGTAGGCAAGCAGCTTCAGTGAAGAGATTGGAACAAAGATGAGTTTACAGAGGATTAAGTATTTAGGAAATGAAGAGAAAACTAAGGCAGTATGTATAAACTACCCATGAATCTCTGGTGCGTCGGGGGGAGGAAGGGGTGGCAGGGGCAATATATGTAACCCTAACAATATTTGTAACCCCATAATATGATGAAATTAAAGGGGGAAAATTTAAAAAAATAAAATAAAATAAAACTAGATATAAAATTATAATCTTTTCTAATATCAAACAATAAATGATCGAAAATATAATGGAAAAAAAGAGAAAAGTTTAAATAGAAGAGAAATTACATGGCCGCTGGACAGCATCATAAACTTGAATGGAAATCGTTAAAGACTGCACAAGCCTACCTGCGTCAACATTAGAAGAGAAAGGAGAACAGGGACAAGAAGCGGACGCAGAACAAGATCTGCACCCTCAGGCGTAGAGGGAGAGCCAGAGAGCTGCTCCTCTGAAACTTCTTGGGAAGGCGAGGTGGCGGCTATCGGGAGACAAGCAGAAAGAGCTGCTGGGGAGGCTGTCCTGGAGGCCCCGCCCTCCTCGGCTGTGTTTGAGGCAGAGTCGCTGACGGGCAGGAAAGGCTGGATTGTACTATGATGATAAACAAACAACTCCCTAGTCTCCCTGAAACAGCAAAGGATCATGTGCTCCCCCCTACACACTCCGTTGCAGATCAGCCAGGACATTGGCTGTACTTCCTCACCCCTACTGAAGAGCCCAGAACCAGGTGGAGCAGCCACTCCCAGCAATGTCACCCGTCACCGTGGCAGGGAGAGAGAGAGCTCTAGAGGGTCTGGCAAGGACAATCGAATGGCAGCTGTGAGCGGCATATATCACTGCTACACACATCTTCTTGTCTGGACCGGCTGCACGGTCCCACTCCACCACAGGGCAGCCAGGAGTGCGATTCCCCCACGTCCCAGGGAGGCGGATAACAGGAAATACCCAGTGAGCAGCACTGACGACCACCACAGTCACCACATTGTGTTGAGAGCTAAACACTGGGAATTCACAAAGACTCCTTTCTCTAGCACCATGGTCAAGCTATCAAAGTGCTGTCCTTTTCTAAGGCAGGAGAACCTTCCTGCAGCTGACTTACGGTACGTGAAGCCAGTGGTGTTGCCACTTCTATTTCACACTGGCTAGTGGACATCTTATTCAGGAGGCATTTGGTTGCAAAAAAACCAAAATCTCAGATTAGTTGAAGCAAAAAATAAGAATACAATTATTCTTCATTATTATTATCACTATTACGGGATATAAAAGCATCTCATAGGATATAAAAGTCCTGAATATATAACCAGGCCTCACAATTATCATTATTTTTTTTATTATTATGGGATATAAAAGCATCTCACAGTACATAAGACCCAACATATAACCAGGCTTCATCAAAACTAAGAAATAGAAAGTCATCCAGAACCATGCCAACACTCTCTCTCTCTCTCTCTCTCTCTCTCACTGTCATGCGCTATCATCTCCTGCTCTCTGCAAATCTCCGTTTCTCTTGTGTATGGCTCCTTTCACACATGTTTAAATTGGGCTGAAATAACACTTTCAGCAATTAAGTCTGTATAACCTCTCCTGTCGAGCCCCTATGGTTAGTCGACGTAATCTCTCTGGACCTCAATTCCAAAGTTACTAGGAGAAAATCCAAAAATCTCTATGATGACTCACTTTGTGTACCAGCT